AGAATCCTCTCCCAAGACTATATACACAGACTAACTTTCAGTATTATCTAACAGACTGTTGCTGATATCAGGGTAAATTTATGTCTTCATGCCACCAGTGTAAAATCTGCTATTGGCTCTTGGCACAAATGATCATTGGTACCTACAGTCTATTCTCTGTCACTGACATATAGGTTGTCTGATGCTCTATTTTGTATTGTGTTTGTGTTTTTACACAGTATCAAATACTCATGTCAGTTCCATATGATCCATTCAGTTTTGATGGTCAGTCATCAGAAACCGGATGTGTTCTTGTTCTCACATCTTCACAGTAAAATACTGAAATTGCCTTTGTTGTAATTTAGTAGAGTTCAGATCAGAGCTACCGACATGAAAGTTAAAAATAAAAAGCTAGCAATCCAACATAGCAACTATTTTATTATGGCTCTGGAAAGGTTAAACAATCATTTTCACAGGACAGTCTCATACCATTATTGTTCTCTGAAGACTGCATTGAAAGGTTGCACTAAATGTACAAATAAATACAAGGACAGGAGGTGGTGAACCAAAGGAAGTTCCAAGGCAACTAATCAAAGCCAAATAGAAGTTAAGTAAATTGGGAAAGTAGATCACTGTTTTAACGGAGATATGTGTAAGCCCATAGCAAAGAGATGCTATCTCTAACTTCTTTCTTCTACCCATTCTCCTTTGATTAAAAAAAAAAAAAATCAAATGCATGTCACAGATAATTCAGTAGTGAACCCTAATACATGTTTTAATTTTGTTTAAATATAGATTGGTATAAGACAAGATGTTTTATTTATCTATATAATAAACTCTATCTCACTTTTCCAATACATAAGCATCACACTGGATGTCTTACAACATTTAGAATAAATGCAAGATTTAGAACGTTTCAAAGAAAAAACACTTTTTAAAACAAAAAAATAAAAAAATAAAAAGCAGGAAGAAGCAAGGGATTATGCAGCCATTTTAATGAATATTTTCCTAAAAAGAATCTTGATTTGATAGTGAAACACCATCAGAGAGATTACCAGTCAATCTTCCTGAAATAATGAGTTCCAAAGTTTAGGTTCAGCACTGAGGTCTTTCTTGGCTCTAACCAAATGTACTTCCACTGTAGCTGGGAATAGAAAAGGGATTTTCTTTTAGATATTAGGAAATAGGCAAACTGATGTAGGAGGTTCCTTGGACTTGAGAGCTTTGGAGCTATAAAATGTCACACCAAGATTGTATCATAGTGAGAAGCAACTGATGGCCTCTGTAGCTCTTATAGTAACACCATAATATGTTTAAACTTGCAAATTTAAATTAGCATTCTTGCTGTTATGTTATAAATTATTGAAGTTTCTAAAGATTCTTCAAAGTATTCCAAAGTACACTGCATCATAGGAATCCAACTGGGAAATAATTAAGTATATTTAACTTGCCAGAAAAAAGAGAGAGTTTGCAGATCAGCTTAATATGGACAAAAATCTTATGAACACAGTAAAAATGTCTTATGAACACAGTAAAATTGTTCTTCTGAATTCCATTCCTATAAAGCAGTCAAGAATGATACCAAAGTCAGTGATATTAAGTATCTCTAAAAGGACAACAGAATCAACAGTTCGTTGTAGGTTCTGGGTAGATCAACGAAGCTGTGTCAGTCTCAAACCCAGGCCTAAAGCCAGGCTGAATGGATCTACATAGTCTATTTCATTTAAAACCTCTGGAGTTTAGACAGAATCTCATGCTCAAGTAACATGTCCAAAAAGGAAAAGTTGCAGACCAACTAGAAATAATTAGGGCTTTGCACAGCTTTGTATTCAGTTCCAAAAAAAATGTTTTGGGGCATGAAGAAACATCTTTCTGCATCTCTTTAAAAACAGTCTTACATTTTCCCAGGATCCTGCTATTATCGCCATAAAGAACTGAAGTACTTTATCATTATTATCATTATCATGCTTCTAGCACTAGACATAACAACAAGGTAGGAACAGCATGCAGACCATGGCTTTTGGAATTCTTTCCAGCCCTAATACCAGCACTTACTACTGGAGATATCTGTATTTTCTTCTGTGTAACAAAAGAATATTTTATTTTATTTATTTATATTTCAAATTTAGATACCGTCCATCTCACAACAAATATGTTGCATCTCACGTGTATGTGCATTATGGCCAGCATGTGTGTGTTCGGAAGGGGGAGAGAGAGAAAAGCATGCAAAGCATGATTTCTGGAATTCTGGAATTCTTCCTCCCCTCTTTTTCCACTTTTATTTTATTTTAACAGATATTTAAAAGCACAGTCAAGAAGAAAAAGAGGAAAAAAAGAAAACAAAAAAGAAATAAAAATGTATTAACAGGCTGCATAAAACTGAATAATAATTTTCAAAGTAACATTAGATTAATACAACATATAAAGATAATCTAATGTTGATTTTAATAATTATTGAAACCAAATCAATAATTAGCAAAGGTAACCAATATAAGAATATTAATAAGAACAATTGCTAGTCTATTATTATTATAACAAACAAACAATATCTAATGTTTTAAAGCTTTATGTTGAGAGAAACCAAAGCAGTTGTAGCTGGCAGATTCTAGGAACCATGCCTTCTCGGTTATGGTGCATGCCCTATGGAACAGCCTCCACCTAGAGATATGGATGGCCTTGACCTTACTGGCCTTTTGTAAGGCAATGAAGCCTGGCTTTTCCCCCAGGTACAAGTGCTGGTGTGGGCCTATGGGCATTGTGTATGATCTGAGATTTGTAAGGGAGGGTTGACTTAGATTTTTGGTTCTCCTCTCCTCTCCTCTCCCCTCCCTCCCTCCCTCCCTCCCTGGGGGGATTGTGGATTGATTATATTTTTATTCTATTCACTGCCCAGAGTTTCACTGGATAAATGGGCACACATATAAATTTGATTAACAAATAAAGTGCAGAATTATTGGGCTGTGGGAAGTCAGCAGTGGCAGCTATGGGGTAGAGAAGATTGGGAA